AGTCTTATGGAAGCTTAAATATAACACATCTCATTAATACAATATACAATATTAATAATACAATATAATAATTATTATTATTATAGAGGATGGTGTTTACCTCTAAGCAGCAGCAATATTTTTCATGGGAGCCAAAGGACTGAGAAGAAAAAGTCTTGTGGAAGCTTAACTATAATGCATCCAATTATTATTATTATTATTATTATTATTATTATTATTATTATTATTATAGAGGATGATGTTTACTTCTAAGCAGCAGGCTTATTTTTCGGGGGAGCGAAAGAACAGGGAGGAAGAATTCTTGTGGCAGCTTAAATATAATATATCTTAATAATAATAATAATAATAATAATAATAATAATAATAGATTATTGTGTTTGCCTCCAAGCAGAAAACATATTTTTCGGGGAGCTCAAGAACAGGACATATAAGTCTTGTGGAAGCTTAAATATAACACATCTCATTAATATAATAATACTAATAATAATTACTTAGATGCAAACCTATTAACATGATACGAGAACTTACAGATCGAACTGCAAAGAGCACAAGGCAGTCAAGGTGGTCCCAGTGGTGATTGGCACACTGGGTGCAGTGTCTAAAGACCTTGGCCTGCACTTAAAAACAATAGGTGCTGACAAAATTACCATCTGTCAGCTGCAAAAAGCCACCCTACTTGGATCTGCCCACATTATTCGCCGATACATGACACAGTCCTAGATACTTGGGAAGGGTCCAACGTGTGATCCAATACAAAAGCCACTATAGTGATCTTGCTGTGTACTAACCTTGTTGTGTATCAAATAATAATAATAATAGAGGATGGTGTTTGCCTCCAAGCAACAGGCATAATTTTCAGGGAAACCAAAGAACAGGGAATAAGAAGTCTTGTGGCATCTTAAATATAACACATCTCATTAATAATAATAATAATAATAATAATAATAATAATAATAATAATACACAGTCCTAGACACTTGGGAAATGTTCGACCTGTGATTTTGTGATACGAAACCCAGCATATATATCTCGTTTGCTGTGACATACTGTGTTTTTGTGTCAGTAAAATAATAATAATAATAATAATAATAATAATAATAATAATATACTTTATTTATATTTATCTCCCCAAGTGGACTGACTGAGATGCAAACCTACATGCATATTATTTGGAAACCATTTAGGAATCATCTTAAATCATTCAGAAAGTCTTGTGGCAGCTTAAATATAACACATTTAATAATAATAATAATAATAATAATAATAATAATAATAATAATAATAATAATAATAATATACTTTGTTTATATTCCGCTCTATGTTCCCGAAGGGACTTAGATACGAACCTACATGGATATCATTTGGAAACCAATCAGGAATCACTCCTGCTGCACCAAATATTAGAGGACCCACCTGTAAATATTTTCAACCTTTTCACCCACCAAATTCCAACACAAGGATGACTTGGGATCAATGATTCCACCTTCCACAACGTTACAAGGTTTTTGACCCCCAAAACAAGCCTTATGGGAAGAGCCACACTCATAACAGATTGCATTGAAAATAAGAGGATCGACACCTCCAAAGGCAGGATTGTTGACACAATCTTTCAAGCAACCGCTGGGCAGAAAATTAAGACAAATCTTTGCTACCTCTTCCCATATAGCACACCTATATGGGAGAGGCAGCAAGACACTACTACTGCTTAGCTTCAGTCGACATACTCTGCTTTAATACATCTATACAATCCACACACAGTGGCATCATTTTCCCTTCTAAGCTTGCAATCGCAGGAAGCTTTTTTTGGACTGGACAATGCCAACAGCACAGGTAAATAAACAGAAGTTCTGAAAGACTCAGGAAAACAAACAACACTTTGAAATCCAGATCTAATTTCATTGCAATCACGATGGAATATTTCTCAACTCATTTCTTTCTTTCCATCTACACATTTAAAGGGATGTGGGAATCAGAAGGCCATTTGGAGGGGAAATAATGCTTTTTGTCTCACAGTGAAAACGCTACATAACCTCTTTCCTTGGGTCTTGTTTTTCTGTTTTACGAAGGAATGCTTTTATTTTGAGAGGCAAAGGGTGTCAAGCTGAGCCGCAGAGAGTCCAATGCAAAAGCATTCCTCCCTTGCTCTCTCACAATAAAGATGTGGGTGCATGTAAACACACATGGAGAGAAATGCAGGATGCAAACACACACCAAGAGAAATGCAAAGCATTTAATACTCATTTTGAGAGGCAAAGGGTGTCAAACTGAGCCGCAGAGGGATCAACACCAAAGTATTATTCTCTTACTCGCTTATAATAAAGACATACATACATGTAAGCACACATGGAAAGAAATGCAAGATGTAAACACACACCGAGAGAAATGCAGAGCATCTTTGACCATTGCAAAAACACTTATTTTGAGAGGCAAAGGGTGCCAAACTGAGCCGCAGAGGGATCGACACCAAAGTATTATTCCCTTACTCGCTTATAATAAAGACGTACGTACATGTAAACACACATGGAAAGAGATGCAGGATGTAAACACACACCGAGAGAAATGCAGAGCATCTTTGACCACTGCAAAAACACTTATTTTGAGAGGCAAAGGGTGTCAAGGTGAGCCGTAGAGGGTTCGACACCAAAGTATTATTCCCTTACTCGGTTATAATAAAGACGTGCGTACATGTAAACACACACGGAGAAAAATGCAGGCTATCCCCAGAGCATCTTTGACTATTACAAAAAACACCTTTTGAGAGGTAAAAAGGGTGTCAAACTGAGCCGCAGAGGGATCGACACCAAAGTCTTATTCCTTTACTCCTTTATAATAAAGATACATGTACATGTAAACACACACTGAGAGAAATGCAAAGCATCTTTGACCACTGCAAAAACACTTATTTTGAGAAGCAAAGGGTATCAAACTGAGTTGCAGAAGGTTCGACATCAAAGTATTATGCCCTTACTCCCTTATAATAAAGATGCGCATAGATGTAAACACACAGCAAGAGAAATGCAGACTATCCCCAGAGCATCTTTGACCACTGCAAAAACACTTATTTTGAGAAGCAAAGGGTATCAAACTGAACCGCAGAGAGTCCGACACAAAAGCATTCCTCCCTTACTCCCTTATAATAAAGATGAGTGGACATGTAAACATACACTGAGATAAATGCAGACCATCTTTGACCACTGTAAAATGCAGACCGTCTTTGAGAGGCAAAGGGTATCAAACTGAGCCGCTAAGTGTTCGACACCAAAATATTTTTCCCTTATAATAAAGATGTGCATATATGTAAAAACACACTGAGAGAAATGCAAGATATAAACACACACCAAGAGAAATGCAGGGTATCTTTGACCACTGCAAGAACACTTATTTTGAGAGGCAAAGGGTATCAAACCGAGCTGCAGGGGGTTTGACACCAAAGTATCATTCCCTTACTCTCTTATAATACAGATGCGTGTAGATGTAAACACACACTGAGAGAAATACAGGCATGTCTGACCACCACAAAGGGTGTCAAGCCAAGGCAAAGGATGTCAAACCGAGCTGCAAAGGGGTCGACACAGAAGTTTCCTTCCATCACTCCCTTATAATAAAGATGTGCATATATATAAACACCAAGAGAAATGCAAGATATAAACACACATAGAGAGAAATACAGAGCATCTTTGACCATTGCAAAAACATTTATTTTGAGAGGCAAAGGGTGTCAAACCGAGCCGCAGAGGGTTTGAAACCAAAGTATTATGCCCTTACTCCCTTATAATAAAGATGTGCAGACATGTAAACACACACCAAGAGAAATGCAAGATATAAACATACACTGAGAGAAATGAGGGGTATATTTGACCACTGCAAAAACACTTATTTTGAGAGGCAATGGGTATCAAACTGAGCCGTAAAGGGTTCGACACCAAAGTATTATGCCCTTACTCCCTTATAATAAAGATGTGCGGACATGTAAATACACACCAAAAGAAATGCAAGATATAAACACACACCGAGAAAAATGAGGGGAATATTTGACCGCTGCAAAACACTTATTTTGAGAGGCAAAGGGTATCAAACTGAGCCAAAGAGGGTTCGACACCAAAGTATTATGCCCTTACTCCCTTATAATAAAGATGCGCAGACATGTAAACATACACTGAGAGAAATTCAAGATATAAACACACACTGAGAGAAATGTGGGGTATATTTGACCCCTGCAAAAACACTTATTTTGAGAGGCAAAGGGTATCAAACCGAGCCGAAGAGGGTTCGACACCAAAGTATTATTCCCTTACTCCCTTTTAATAAGGATGCGCATATATGTAAACACACACAGAGAGAAATGCAGGCTATTTCCAAGAGCATCTTTGACCACTGCGAAAACACCACAGCCAAAAGACTGAAGCCCACTCACTCCCTTTCTGAGTTAAGGTATGACAAGTTGACAAGATCCAAACACAAAGTAGCCCAAGGAAGTTGACAGCTTTCACAGCAGGGAAAGCTGGCTTCGAGCGGCAGGCAGGCAGCATCGCTATCCGCGTCTGCCACACTCTTGGGTGCTTCTTTAAGAAGCGGATCGCCTCCAAAGCAAGGCAGAAGAAAGAGGAGGAAGGGAAAACAAACCAGCCAGCTAGCCGGGCTGAGAGATGGGGAGAAATTCACCCTGCATGCACGGCAATCATTTTCATTTCATTTCTCAACCCCACATGGTAGGGCTTATACGGAAGGGAAAAGACACCAAATCACAAAAGCAACCCTTCTGGCTCGATTAGCACTCTTAGCACTCTCGCCTCTGCCTCCCAACCCCAAGATCTGAAACAGACAAGGAGAGGCAATCATCAAAGATGGCTGCGATTCCTACAAGCAGCTCTCTCTCCCTCCTAAGAGAAGTACATTGCAATGTTTACCTATTGGGGGTAGAGAATGAGAGGCAAGAGAATGGGGGAAAAAAGAAGAGGGAATTTATTTTTTCACGCCGTGTCACTTGTGGTCTCTCCTACCTGTTTTCTCTTTGATTTCGCAAAGGACGCTGAACAAAGCCGGCTTCATTCTGTGGCAATTGAGTGCATGCTTCCTGCAAAATAAAAACAAGAGAGCACATGGTCAAAATACTATAATTGACATTGAAGGGGGGAAAAACATACAGGGCATTTCTGCAAAAGTGGGGAGCAAGGGGATTATTGTATATTTTTTTATTTCCATGTTTCCTAGTTGCATTTCCTTCCCTGCAAAATAGTCTACAGGAGAGTTGCAAAGCCAATGTTGCATTTGCTTCCCTGCAAAATAGTCCCAACTACAGGAGAGTTGCAAAGTTAGTGTTACATTTGCTTCCCTGCAAAATAGTCCCAACTCCAGGAGGGTTGGAAAGACCACTCAACTTTATTTGGCTAGGAACAAGCCTTGCGTTCACAGAGTCCCTTCCTGCCTTAAGGAGAAAGGTAATGACATCTGAACTTGAGCAAGGAGAGGTCAGCTTAATTCCTCCTTCATCACAGAAGCCAAGACTGAGTGACAGGCCTAGGCCACCCCATTGGAGCTGATGCCAAGAAAAGTTGGGTTCCTCTTTTAATCCTAGACAAGACAATAATAATAATAATAATAATAATAATAATGGTCCCAGTGGTGATCAGGACACTGGGTACAGTGCCTAAAGACCTTGGCCTGAACTAAAAAACAATCGGCGCTGACAAAATTACCAACTGATTCAGATCTGCATGCATTATTCGCCGATACATCACACAGTCCTAGACACTTGGGAAGAGTCCAACAAGTGACCCAATACAACAGCCAGCACAGCTATATTGTTCGCTGTTTACTAACATGTTGTATATCAAATAATAATAATAATAATAATAATAATAATAATAATAATAATGCATTATTCACTGATACATCACACAGTTCTAGAGACTTGGGAAGTGCCCGACGTGTGACCCAATACAAAAGCCAGCAGAGTGATCATGTTTGCTATGTACTAATCTTGTTGTGTATCAAATAATAATAATAATAATAATAATAATAATAATAATAATAAAATCTTTATTTGCATCCTGCTTTTCTCCCTAAACAAGACTCAAAGTGACTCACAACATTTTAGAAAAAAATTGAGATAAGGATACATTACCTATAAAACCAGGTATACAATGTATACAATGTATAATGTATACAATGTTTACAATGTACAATTTACATTGTTTCATAGATCATTGTATACATTGTGTACATTGTATACAATGTATACATGTATACAATGATCTATGAAACCATGTATACAATGTATAGAATACATTCTCAACCTCTGAGGATGCTTGCCATAGATGCAGGCGAAACATCAGGAGAAATGCCTCTAGAACATGGCTCTATAGCCCGAAAAAACCCACAAGAACCTAGTGATTCCAGCCATGAAAGCCTTCGACAATACAATGTATAGAATGTACAATGTATACAATGTATACATGTATACAATGATCTATGAAACAATGTAAATAAACATATATACAAAAGTTTGATTTCTCTTGACATCCTAGCTAAGAAAAGTTTGGTTTCTCTTGAAATAATAATATCAATCTCATCACAAAAAGAAATATTTTTCTAGGGGAAGTAAAATACCTAAAACAAACCCATTTGAGCACATATCTCCTCCGAAAAAAATGCCCGCCATTTCTTCCGGGGCCATAAATCAAACTTTGTCCCCCAAGCTGCCATATCCTCATCACCATCATCCCTGATTGATGAAGGGAGAGAAGAAGGGGGAAACTTTCTGAGAGTTCGAAGGGGCACTTTATTTGGTGGCCCAATATGCAGTCTTATTATCTTATTTCACCCTCATGAGGAGGAGGAAGGAGAAGGCTTTCCCCCCTATAAACATCCTCAACCAACGATGATGATGATGATGATGATGATAATAATAATATTTTATTTGTAGGCAATCCTATCTCTCCGAGGGGACTCGGGTCAGAGATGCTCCTTCAGGACCAAAAATACAGAGGGAGAAGGTGTGAAGTGAGAACTCTCAAGTTCACATCTAAAGGTAAAGCATCACAATGTAGGGCAATGGGGGTTGGGGGTTGGTTTAGCAATACTAAATGGTAGTGGGAGGTGAGCAGGAACAGCCCTATTGGGGCAAACCAAACAGAACCGAGCTGAGCAAAGCACCCTATTTACAAAGACAGACACCGAAGTCCAACTCTGGCTGACTTGTTTTGAGAAGGAAGGAAACACACAGCACACACACACAGACAGAGTGTCCCCTCAAAATGTATACATATATGAGATATATATATATATATGCAATCCCCCCTCCCCCCAAAAAAAATCCCTATAACACCCTCAACAGGATTAAAGCCATCCAGGAGTAGAGAGATGATGATGATGATGATGATGATGATGATTATTGCTACTACTACTATTCTGATCTGCATATATATGTGTGTGTGTGTGCGTGCGTGCATGCGCAATCCCCTCCCTCCCAAAAAACCTGTAACACCCTCAACAGCATTATAGCCATCCAGGAGTGGAGAGATTATTATTATTATTATTATTATTATTATTATTATTATTATTATTATTATTACTTGGATCTGCAATATATATATGTGTGTGTGTGTGTGTGTGTGCGCGCGCAATCCCCCCCCCCCCCCCCCAAAAAAACCTATAACATCCTTAACAGGATTAAAGCCATCCAGGAGTGGAGAGATTATTATTATTATTACTACTACTACTACTACTACTTGGATCTGAGATATATATATATATATATATATATATATATATATATGCCATCCAGGAGTGGATTATTATTATTATTATTATTATTATTATTACTTGGATCTGCTATATGCAATCCCCCCCCCCCCAAAAAAAACCTATAACACCCTCAACAGGATTAAAGCCACCCAGGAGTGGAGAGATTATTATTATTAATATTACTACTACTACTCGGATCTGTACACATTATTCACCGATACATCACACAGTCCTAGACACTTGGGAAGTGTCCGGCGTGTGATCCAATACAGCAACCAGCACAAGAATCTTGTTTGCTGTGAACTCATCTTGTTGTATATTAAATAATAATAACAATAATAATATTAATTTCTATTATTATTATTTTACTGACACAAAAACACAGTATGTCACAGCAAATGAGATCTATATGCTGGATTTCGTATAACAAAATCACAAGTCAAACACTTCCGAAGCGTCTAGGACTGTGTGATATATTTTCGAATGAGGTACACAATTAATAATAATAATAATAATAATAATAATAATAATAATATATTACTACTGGGATCTGCACGCATTATTCGCCGATACATCACACAGTCCTAAAAACTTGGGAAGTGTACAATGTGTGATCCAGTACAACAGCCAGCACTGGGATCTTGCTTGCTGTGAACTCATCTTGTTGTGTATCTAATAATAATAAAAAATATAATTATCATAATAGTAATTATTATTACTACTACTAGGATCTGCATGCATTATTCGTCAATACATCACAGTCCTAGACACTTCGGAAGTGTCCGACATGTGATCCAATACAACAGCCAGCAGAGTGATCTTGTTTGCCGTGAACTCATCTTGTTGTGTATCTAATTATTATTATTATTATTATTATTATTATTATTATTATTATTATTATTATTATTATTATATCCCGCCCTCTCTCTCCGGATGGACCCGGGGATCTCTTGAAATGAGAGTTTATAATTCTGGATACAAATATATTTGGTAATCCCGCCCCCCCAAAAAAACCTCTCCCAAATAATAGAGAAACTTGGGCCTCTTAGCCATGCTCTATATATCCCAGGTTCTGATTCCAGCCTTTTTATTTATCCCAGATTATCTGATTATATGTGGACTCATATAATCTAGTTCAAAGCAGAAAAGGTGCGATCGGATGTATGTATATATATTATTGGCAATCTCTCCTCCCAAAATCTCCCCAATAATAGAAAACTTTGGAGCCCTTCCAGGCAGGCCCTATATATCCCAGGATCCAATCACATGTTTTCTGTTTATCCCAGATTATCTGGCAGTGTGGACTCATATAATCCAGTTCAAAGGATAAAATATGCGATCGGATGTATGTATATATATTAATGGCAATCTCCCTTCCCAAAATCTCCCCAATAATAGAAAAATTTGGGGCCCTTCCAGGCAGGCCCTATATATCCCATTATCCGATCCCAGGCTTTCTGTTTATCCCAGATTATATGGAAGTGTGGACTCATATAATCAAGTTAATAGCAGAAAAGATGCGATCGGATGTATATATATTATTGGCAATCTCTCCTCCCGAAATCTTCCAAATAATAGAGAAATTTGGGGGCCCTTCCAGGCAGGCCCTATATATCCCAGGATCCAATCCCAGGCTTTCTGCTTACCCCAGATTATCTGGCAGTGTGGACTCATATAATCTAGTTCAAAGCAGAAAAGCTGCAATTGGAGATGTATATGTATGCATATATATCTCCTCTCCCAAAATATCCCCAATAATAGAGAAACTTGGGGCCCTTCCAGGCAGGCACTATATATCCCAGGATATACACGTTTTTTGTTTATCCCAGATTATCTGGCAGTGCAGACTCGTATAATCCAGTCTAAAGGAGACAACATGGAATCAGACCATGGGGTATGATATAGGGCCTGTCTGGAAGGAAGGGAGGATGAATGATAGAATTGGAAGAGACCACAAGGGTCATCTAGTCCAACCCCTTGCCAGGTGACAATTTTGGACCATATCGAAATGGCAATGGAAGATGGGATCAGCTAGGTAAATACCCCATCTTATGCATGATTAGGGGACTTCTCCTTCCTGAAGGAAGGGTGCATTTTTGGAAAGAGACATCTCATGTCCACAGATATGGATGAGATGTCCCTCTCAATGTTTGTGTCAACGCAAACACATGCAAGGATGGAGTGAATGGGGGGATGTATTGTGAAGCAGGCTTGTTTCCTAAAGGAGAGCAACTTTGTTTGTGTCTCATCCAGGTGAGCAACTCTGGGTTCTGAGGAAAGGAGCAATGCATCAATGGGCCATTTTGGACCTTGCAAAACAGTACGGGAAGATGGGATGAAACCAACAGCATCGACCTGAACATCCATCCTTCTGAGCATCACAGAGGAGGGCATGCATTCTGGAGAGGACACCTTATCCACACATACCTTTGTACATCAGTATCAATATTGATATCGATGACACATACTAATCATAAGATGGGACTCTTGACCTCAAAGCAACCCGCATAGGTGGGTCCATATTTTGTGGGTCCATATACACATACACACTCACGCACACAGACAGAGACAGAAGGGGACCGAAGCGCATCAGGCACATTTAAAACACAAGGGTATTACTTTTGGGTTTTTGGGGAGGGAAGGGGGGGTTTGTCTGCTGGAGAAGTGGGGGGGACCAACTTTGCTTGCGCCTCGTCCAGGCTCTGGTCGGTGATGGTCATGATCTGGTGGAGGATGTCGCCGATGTCCTGCTTGCGCCCGTCGCCGCCGTCGGGGACCTCGTGCCCGTGAGGGGGGGGCAAGGGCATCCCTCCCCCGGGAACCGGGTGCCCCGCCAGGTTCACCCCCGCCAAGGTCTGCAGCATCCTCGTCTGCTCGTCCATGGCCCAGGAAGAGAGCAGGAAGGAGGAGGAAGGAAGGGGAAGAAGAAGATGGGGAGGAGGAGGAGGAAGAAGATGAAGAGGAGGAGGAAGGAGAAGAAAGAGGAGGAAGAAGATCAGGAAGAAGGGAAGGAGGAGGAAGAAGGAGATGAACAGGAGGAAGGAGGAGGAGGATGAGAAGCAAGAAAAGGAGGAAGAGTGAGAGAATTGAAGAAGATCAAGAGGAGGAAGAAGAGGAAGAAAAAAGAAGAGGAGGAAGGAGAGGAAGAGGAAGAATCAAAAGAAGAGGAAGAAGAAGTAAGAAGGAAAAGAAGAACGAAAGTAGGAAGATGAGGAGAGACAGAAGAATAAAAGAAGAGGAAGAAAAAGAGAAGTGGAGGAGGAAGAAGATGAAGAGGAGGAAAAAGAGGAAGAAGAGGATAAATAAAAAGATGTAGAAGGAAGGGAAAGGAGGAGAAAGAAGAGGAGAAAGAAGGGAAGGAGAAGGAAGAAAAAGATGAAGAGGAGGAAGAATAGGAAGAGGGGGACGAAGAGTAAAAAGAAGGGGAAGAAGAAGAAAGGGAAAGAAGAGAGGAGAAAAGGAAAGGAGGAGGAAGAAGAGGAGGAGGAAAGAGAGAAGGAAGAAGAGGAGGAGGAATAAAAAGAAGAGGAGGAAAAGAAAAAGGAGATGGAAAAGAGGAGGAAGAAAAAGAAGAGGAGGAAAGAGAAGAGGAAAGAAGAGGAGAAAGGAAAAAAAGAAGAGGAGGAAGATTAAAAAGAAGAGGAGAAGGAAGGGAAAGAGGAGGCGGAAAGGAGGAAGAGAAAATGATAAAGAGAAAGAGGAGAAGAGGAGGAAGAAAGAAAGAAAGAAAGAAAGGAGGAAGAGGGAGAAGAGGAAAGGAGAAGATGAAGGGAAGGAAGAAGAGGAGGAAGATTAAAAAGAGGAGGAGGAAGAAAGGAAGAGGAGGCGGAAAGGAGGAAGAGAAGATAAAGAGAAGGAGGAGGAAGAAGAGGAGAAGACTAAAGAGAGGAGGAAGGAGAAAAGGATGGAAAAGAGAAGGAGGAAAGATGGGAAGAAGATGAAGAGGGAAGAGGAGGAAGAAGAGATGAAGGAGGAAGGAGGAGAAGGAGAGGAAGCAGATGCAAGTCCGAGCTCAGTCCCCGCCGCTCCTTTCCAGGCAAATCGGAGCAGGCAAAAGCAGAGCTTCCTCTCCTGGGTTTCTCTTCCTTCCTTCTTTCCTGGGAGCTCTTCTCTCAACGCCGGGCTCCTTTGCTCATCCTTGGGCGGCTTTCCTTGAGTCAGTCCCAGCAATCTGGAGGAAGAGAAAGAGGAGGAGGAGGAGGAGGAAGATGCTGAGTCCCAGCAGCTCCCAGCAGAGCTCTTTCCAACGATTGGCTTTGTGTTCTTCTTCTTCCTCTTCTCCCTCAAGCTTCTTTCTTCATCCTTCGCCCTCTTGCAATTCCCCTTCAGCACCACAAAAATGTAGATATTTCGGGAAGGCAAAAGCTCCAAAGTTGACAACACTTAGTTGCCGGTGGTTCTTTCTCGCTCTCTCTTCCTCTTGGATTTGTTTTTTTCCTTCATCGAGGGAAGAAATGGTGTTATTTTCCCAGAAAACAGATTTGCAAAAAAAATAATAATAAAATATTCAAACCGCTTTGCAATCCAATTATTTGGAGAGAGAAAAAATCACATCGTTGCTCCGAACGGCAAGAAGGGGGAAAAATGCAAAAAAAGCCACATCACAAAATTTCCCAGCGTCTGGTTTGGTTGCAAAAAAGAAAAAAAAAGGAGGAGGAGAGGGAAAATCGCCAGCAAAGTTTGCAAGTTGTGCAAAAAAATTTTGGAAAAAATAAGATTCTTTTTTTTTTAAGGAAGGGGGCAAAAAAAGAAGCAAAGTCTCTCTTTTGCAAAGACGGGAAAAATTGCAATTAATGGCACACCGGCTTTGCAAAAGGGGGAGGAGGGCCAAAGAGGGGGGAGAAACCCCATCCAGCTGCAATTTATGAGCCCAGCAGCAGCAGCCCCAGTGACTGTGGTGTGTGTTTTATGTTGTTTGATGGCCGCTTTGGTGAGGGATTGACAGGCTGCCAATGCCACTCACTCACCCTGCAGACGTGTCAAAGGAGGCGAGCCGAGAGAGAGAGAAAAGCAAGCGAGCTGGTCGAAGCCACGCCCCTTTCCCCGGGCTTCTCGGCCTCCAAGCCACGCCCCTTTCCCCGGGCTTCTCTGCCCTCCCAAGCCACGCCCCCTCGCTCTGAGAGGCCGCCTCCAAGCCACGCCCCCAGGCTCTAAGCCACGCCCCTTTGGAATGCTCCGGGCTTTCAAGGACCGCCTTCTCCTCGCCTCTAAGCCACGCCCCCTCTCTCATGCACTCCTTCCCATCCAGCTGGATCTACACTGCTAGAGAATCCAGTTTGGGGATAAACTGCATTGCATTGAACTGCATTCTATAGCCAGGATTTTTTTTCCCCTCCAAATAATAAGTTTTATTAGTTTACTCATTTAATAACTAATGTAATATTATTATTATGCTAATATAATTACATTAATATAATATATAATAATATAATTACATTGATATAATATATAATAATATAATTACAGCACATAATATATATAAATATATAATACTATAGTTACATTGCATTATATTATTAGCATAGCACAATATTAGAATTACATTAATATAATATATTAATATATTATTGTGCTAATAATATAATTACATTAATATTATATATAATAATATAATTACATTAGATAATATATATAATATATAATACTATAGTTACATTGCATTATATTATTAGCATAGCACAATGTTATAATTACATTAATATAATAAATTAATATATTATTACTATGCTAATAATATAATTACATTAATATAATATATAATAATATGATTACACTACATAATATATTTAAATTATATAATAATATAATTACATTAGATTATATATATAATATATAATACTATTTGTTGTTCATTCGTTCAGTCGTCTCCGACTCTTCGTGACCTCATGGACCAGCCCACGCCAGAGCTCCCTGTCGGCCGTTACCACCCCCAGCTCCCTCAAGGTCAGTCCAGTCACTATATAATACTATAGTTACATTGTATTATATTATTAGCATAGCACAATATTAGAATTATATTAATATAATATATTAATATATTATTATGCTAATAATATAATTACAGTAATATAATATATAATAATATAATTATATTACATAATATATAGTAATATTATTATATTGCACTATATATATAATTACATAATAATACATTATATTATATTATTAGCATAGCACAATATTAGAATTACATTAATATAATATATTAATATATTATTGCTACGCTAATAATATAATTGCATTAATATAATATATTAATATATTATTATTGTAATAATATAATTACATTTATATAATATATAATTATATAACATAATATATATAATTACATAATAATACATTACATTATATTATTAGCATAGCACAATATTAGAATTATGTACTACACTGCATATATATAATATATTTACACTGTAATGTAACATAACTAATATAATACTAATATACATGTTTTAATATAACATGTCTATTAATAATATATTAGTTATAGTTATACTACATTACAATGTAAATATATTATATATAACATTACAATGTAAATATGTTCAAGACATCAACATTATATTGTAATATATAATTTATATTATTAAATTAAATTAATATTATTAAATTAAATTAATATAGTATTAAACTATAACTATAACTGACATAATATAGTATTAATATACATGTTACAATACAACATGTATATTTATATTATATTATTCAGGAGATCACCAGTTTAACCCGCTGTGCCACTGGGAGCTCCTTAATCTATTGGTAGCATATAATAATAATAATGCTTTATATACCATCCCATCTCTTAAACTACACAAATATACAATAATAAAACAGTATTATCATTATATATTATCATTAGGAATTATATTTAATACATTAGTACTACTATATTGCAATATTATTATTTTATCTTATCATATTGTATTATTACTAGTATTATATTGTATTATCTATGTATATACAATATAGTATATTGTTATCATAGACAATATTAGTATTATGCATTGAACTGTATATATATATATATACACACACACATTGTGATGTAATAATACTAAAATAATATATTATAACATAATATTAATATACATGTTATAATATAATATATTAAAATATAATAACGATGTTGTAATATAATATATTTACTACAACTTATGATATATATAATTTAAAAGGTAAAGGTTTCCCCTGACCTTAAGTCTAGTCATGTCCGACGGGGTGGTGGTACTCATCTCAATTTCTAAGCAGAAGAGCCGGCGTTGTCTGTAGACACCTCCAAGGTCATGTGGCCGGCATGATTGCATGGTGCGCAGAAGCGGTACCTATTCATTTACTCACATTTGCATCTTTTTGAACTGTTAGGTTGGCAGAAGCTGGGGGTAACAGCAGGAGGTTACCCCTGTTCTCTGGATTCAAACTGCTGACCTTTTGGTCAGCAAGTTCACCAGCTCAGCGGTTTAACCCGCTGCTCCACTGGGGGCTCCTTATTGAAAGCGTATAATTATAAAAATTATTATTATTATTATTATTTATTTATTTATTTATTTATTTACCTTACTTATATACCGCTGTTCTCAGCCCGAAGGCGACTCACAGCGGTTCACAACAAATACGAACAGCAATATACCATCCTATTTCCCAAAAGGGACTCAGGGTGGTTCCCACCAACCAATAATAATAATATACTACAGCATAATAATATCATAATTGTATTTTTTATTTATATCCCGCTTTATCCCTCCATCCAGAGACTTAAAGCTGCTCTCCAATCAAAAACATTACAATTTAAAATATACAAATGAAATAAAAATAGAACAGTATTATCATTATATATAGTTATATATTATCAGTAGTATTCTATTTAATATATTAGTATTATTATATTATAATATTATTATTACATATATTGCATTATTATTATATTCTATTAATTACAGTATTATAATTAATATTATCTGTATACACAATATAT